GAAAATAAAAGAAAGGCTTGCTTTTGTCTGTATAACCAACATCTGATGGTTTCTTTATGACTTATCAATCTTTTGCAGGTTATTTAAAACCAGAAGTTATTTTTACATTGAAAGAATGTTCTTGGAGATAATAATGATTTATTGTTACAAGTCCTACTAATTAACCCATAACTGGGTGAAAGAGATAGATTAATACCCTTTTACAAGGATATTTGCCTGTAAATGAATATAATGAACCCAGCAGGAATTGGAACTCAGTTTGCAATTTTCTTCTTGGCCAGGGACTGCTCTATGCTCAGGACACTGGGAGAAGATGCATTTTCATGGTGAAGCAGCCATAATTTGACCTGCCACAACTCTTGTCTCTTCTTTTGCACTGTGTGAAGTATATGCCACAGGAATATTGAAGATATGCTGATTTATCATCTGACCCCGTAGCAAGAACTCACTGTGGACAATGCTTCTCACATTGAAGAACGAATGTCCTGTTACTTTTCAGACAGACATTGTGTGTATATATATATATATATATATATATATATATATATATATATATATATATTTGTCATTCACATACAGGCCTGTTTTGATGTATCACTGCTCATCAGTGCAACTAGATAACACTTCAAGCCAGGATTGAAACCCAACCGATTTGGTATCAGTTAGAGTTTATACCCCCAAGGCATTAGCATTTTGGCAGAGAGAAAGACGGATTCTAGTGTATTGTTTTTACAAATGTAAACAAACGCCAGACAGCTCTGAAGAGTGAAGCGTTAGTGCTGACAGCAGCTGTTTATAGAATTCACCCATCTCTCAACAGTGATCAACTGAAAGATTTTATTTAAAAATCAGGAGGTCAGTTGAATCCACTTACCTTGGTTTCAACCTTGTGGTATCCTCAGGCGATTTTTATCAAATGACCTTTTAACACTATTTTTTTTAAAAAAAACTAATGAATGCTATATTGTTATTTTCAAAAATAAACAAACACACGATATTGGTGTAATAGAAAGGGAGGAAGAAAGAAGAACGGGGAAGAGAAGAACAGTAAGTAAATGTATCGGTGGAGGGTTAACTGAAATGTACATTACTTTGTTTTTGTTTTTTTATTTTATTTTATTTTTTTATCCAGCCTCATATGTGCTTAAGGGGAATTTTCTAATATGTAAGCAAGGACTTAAGACTTCTAGTTTAAAACTGTCTTTGGATCCAGAAATGTCATAATTGCTAATTTTTCCTGTTGGCAGAGGTTGCAAATATTGTTGTGGTTGTTGTAAGGCTCTGGCATTTTTAAACATTTCCACCTTACAATCAGATATTTGACATGGTGGGGAAGATGCATGGCAAAGTGAAAAAAATTTTCATGTGATGCATTTTGTCCTTTAGGACTTCATTGGATTAAGTTTCTTAATGTTTGGTGTGACTATATTTGTGCACGAATGAGAAACACTGGGAAATTAAATTTTTTTTTTTGTTGTGTGTATATAATATAACCGATTTTATTTAGATCCTTTTTGTTTTTGTTTCCATCACCTAGATCTATCAAGAATGGCGAAACCTTGTTATATATATATATATATATATATATATATATATACAAAAAATTATTTAACCATAAACGTTGCATGTATCAGCAACATTGATACTTATGAGCTTTGAAAAAAGAACATTGTACACATTTAGACAATACTAATAAATGTTGCTTGTATTAACAACATCTTTTCACTGGCTCACTTAACATCTTTTCACTTTCAATAACATTTCTTATGTAAACAGTCTCTATTTCCATGAACATTTATTCACAATTTAAGGTGTACAGGGGGGCTGGGTCACATTGAACTTTTTTTAATTAACTTTTTTTGTTATTTATAACTAGCAGCATGGCCCAGCGTTGCCTGTGCTTGATTCAAAAATCGTACGACTCATACAGCAATCACTATCACTTGACTTAAAATATTTTTGCCCTTCCTTTCGGTTAACGCTTTTTCAAAAGGTAATCTTTGGCGAAGCAAGAAACAATTGGTGACACATTAATAAATAACAAATGAGGAGGGAAATTTGGAACACAATTTAAATAAATTTTAATTATAAATAAATTAGAAATTAAAAAAAATTTTAGAACTTCCCAAAGTTTTTAATTGCTAAATTGCTAATCATTAACCTGAAAACATAGTTAACTGAATACTGACCTGAATTTTTTACCACAAAACTTTCAATCTATATAATTCACCTGGTAATATTCAGGTGAGCAATTATCTGTACTTTTCCATTCACCTATTATGTTTTGTTTTATTTTTCAACTTGCAATAAAATGAAAAATGCCAATTTCAATGGTAAGGCATTAATATTGATTAATTTGCTGATTTAGAGAGTTTAAAATTTAAATCTTTAACATTCATAATTTTTTGTCTGTTGATTTTGATAATAACCAGGTAATGTGTTTTAGTGTACTTGATTTTTTGGACAGTACTTGGTTTCATTGTATTCTGAGGTGTGTTATATCTCTATCTATAAAAGGCAGGATGTGTGTGTGTGTGTGTGTGTGTATAACGAATGCACGGCCACAATTTTCGACGGATTTGCACCAAAATTTACATGTGCATGCTCCAAGTTAGCAGGAAGTCCAAGACTGACTTTGCATTTCCCAACTCCCATCGATAGTGGAAATAATCGATTTTTTTCATGCTTCTACGGCAGCTTTCCTGTAGTTTGCAGCCATTTTCTACTAGCCAGAGTGAGAGCCTATAGCTAGCTGCCACGAATAGGCAGGGAGATTCTATTGGCCAGCATGAGAGCCAACAGCTGACTGACACGAACTTTAACTAGCATGCTAGCATGCAAAAAAAATCAATAGCTGCATTCATCACAAGTGGGAAAAATTTAAATCTGCATGGCACTTTACTGCAATTGGCTCATTCGCTTGCTTAAACTCAATATTGATTCTGATTCCGCAGAACTGGGTTAGGTGTGAAAAAGTATTTGTTGTTAACATTCTTTTTTTCATTCAGTTTTTCCAGTTACGAGTCCTTTTTTAAAGCTGATTGTTTTGTGTTCATTTTGTTTAGTTCTTTTTTTCGTAACGGATTTAATGTTTAGTATAGAGCTTAGAAAAAATTCGCAGTGTGAGATAGGCAAGAAGTAAAGCATGTAGCAACGTCAGCACGGCAAAGGGCACTCCTTTAAAGACAAGGAAAGGCAAAAATATTTTAAGTCAAGTAATAGCGATTGCTGTATGAGTCGTACGATTTTTGAATCAAGCACGGGCAACGCCGGGCCATGCTGCCAGTTATAAATAACAAAAAAGTTAATTAAAAAAGTTCAATGTGACCCAGCCCCCCTGTACACCTTAAATTGTGAATAAATGTTCATGGAAATAGAGACTATTTACATAAGAAATGTTATTGAAAGTGAAAAGATGTTAAGTGAGCCAGTGAAAAGATGTTGTTAATACAAGCAACATTTATTAGTATTGTCTAAATGTGTACAATGTTCTTTTTTCAAAGCTCGTAAGTATCAATGTTGCTGATACATGCAACATTTATTAATATCATCTAAACATATGCAATATTTAAATGAGTATGTATGGGTGATGTAATGGATAATTTTAGCTTTCTAACTCCAAGGCAATAAAGAAAAAATGTGTGTGTAAGACTGAAAATCGTCCATTTTTACTGGCTAGGAAGAAATCCCAGCATGCATCTGTTGGATTTGTCTATAAATTTGGGGCGCAATGATTTTTAGCAGTCATTTCCTGGGATTGGTACCAACATAAATGGACAAACAGTTTAGATTGCTGTCAGTGAAGTGGCAGGTACCAAATTACTAATAATTATATGTATGGCGATTTACTAAGCGTAACTTAGATGTAGCATAAGGCCAAAAGTATGGAGCACCCAGTGAAGATTGAACTCACTACTCTGACGTAATTGATCGAGTGGGACAAGCTTACTCGCCATTACACCACATTGAAGTGCTCTGATTTACTAAGCGTATTTTAGATATGGCACAAGTTCAAAATTAAAGGTGCACTCTCTACAGATTGAACTCGCTACTCATTTGTAATAGCGACACACCATCATGATCCCATTCCCATTTCATTCAACCAAAACCCAACAGACACTTAATCAATCATCAATAACCGCTCCAGTCTCCCCTCCATTAATAATCTTGACAACCAATCAACCCACCACAGTGACCTCGATCAATCAACATGCCAACCCACCTTACCAGGCAATTGTTGATTTCAACCTTTAAAAAAAAAAAGGTGTGCACCAAACCCCACTAATGGCTAATCCACTTCAGACCTCTCCTCTGATCCCAAATCACCTTGCTTTAAATTCAAAATGAGGCCGCTGCTGTTGAGGAGTCAAAAATAATACCTGTGAATAATGCAGAGTGTTAAAGTTTAATCCTTGGTTGTACCATTCCTTTGCAACCAAACGTTCATTATTACATTTATAAATCAAAAGAAAATAATTTTCTACTGTATATTTGTTATATAGGGATAAAATGTCACTGCCAACACTTGAGTTTGACCATTGATCACCAGTGTTTGCTCACTGGCGATTCCATTATTGAATTAAGTAGACCAAGTGACCATAGAGGAAACACATAAGTAGGAAGTCGTGTGACCTCTAATTGATCACTATACGGATCGCCATTTCTAGTCTATCCTCTATACTATACAGACCACTATTCTCTGTTCAGATCACTATATGAATTACTATTCGAGTGAGTTTTATCAAGCAAGTATTATTAGTGCAAGTGATATTCGAAGGTGTCTGACACTAGTATTGTTCAATAGCGTTACTATAGTTGTATCTGCGATTACAAAGTCTCTACTACAACGAACATCATGAAAGTGGCAACGAGTATTTGCTGGCATCACAAAAGTGGCAACAACTGTTTGTTGACATTACAAAAATATTACGTAAGTTTTTCTCAGAACCTTGGTGCTTGAACTTACTGATTCAAACTTTCATTATGATCTGTTTTTGCAGGAATCGATTTACAAACAGGAAGTGGAGGCACGTGGTTGGCAATGAATCGTGAGGGAAAATTGGCAGTTCTCTTAAACATTTTAATAAATGAAGAGGATAATACGAAAATGTCCCGAGGTGAGTTTTTTTTTTTTTTTTTTTTTTTTTTATACTTATTAAAAGTACAAATCTTGTAACCACTGATATATTGGGATGTTTGGAGAGTAATTACATACCTCACTACTATGGATGAACCAACCAAAGTAGAACTGAGGTCGAATAGTAGGAAACCGTGTTTAGGATTAATTTGTCTTTTTATAGCGAATTTCAGAGCTTAATTGGGAAAATTTTCAAAGACAGAATTTGGGTTCCTCATGAATTTTTGCTTGACAACCAAACCTGTCATTCCACCATCTGAAGCAGTCTTTTAACCAGGAATGTCAACCTGTTTTTGTGTTACATTGTTACAGGTGATGAAAAATAGGTTTTGCATGTCAACAGAATACAGCAGTGGTTATCAGAAAATGAGAAATGAGTGCCAACACCAAAACCAGGCATCAAACCACAGAAATACTTTGGGCTTGATTTCTTCTTCTTTTTTTTTTTTTTTTTTTTTTTTTTCAATAGTTTATCAAAATATTCTCAGGTTGTCAGATTCTGGAGATAATGGTTTTCTGATATAGGTCCTACTAATTAACCCATAGAAGGAAGGGAGAAGAGGTGGATTCATTCCTTTCCCAAGGGTATTTGCATGTAAGTCAATATAATGAAACTGACTGGAATTTGGCTCTCTGATTTTGAAAACTGAGCCATTATCCATTACACCACCTACACAACAATTCAACACCGAAAGATTGTTTCAATCAACCCAGGTACATGGGAATACTAGGTGCTATAAGCTTGGATGTGTATGTAATAATAAAGAAAACACTTCTCTTACATCACAACACTGTTTGTCGATGTCACAAGATTCACTATATTTTTGAGATGAGGTATTGTAATTATTTACACTATTTACATTGTTCAGACTGTTGTCTTTATATTTGTTGACTTATTTGTGATGTTTTGGCTGTTGTACGCTCTGGCTTTCTTCAGGATCTGTCTATATTTCTGAGATGAGGTATTGTAATTATTTACACTAATTAGAATAATTTCTTTTTTTTTTTTCTTTTTTTTCTAGGTGCTCTTGTCTCTGATTATGTGAAGAACAAGGAAAGCAACATTGAGCGCTATCTTAATGACATTGCACAAAATGCTGATCAATTCAAAGACTTCAATCTAATTCTCTTTGATCTCAAGTAAGTCCTTTTGGCCAGAATCCAAATACTGACATAATAATCACATTTTCATCCTTTATAATTTACTTTCATTTGTTGACAATCATTTGTCATTGTCAACAATAAGTTTATTGCAAATGTTCATTGGGGCGTCATGAGCTGTTAGTGAAATAAATATTTGGTGTTGTCATTGATTTTTCTTTTGATCCATTCATATCCATGCTCTCATTTTTGGGACAGTAGGCATTAACTGATTACCAGTAGAAACCTATGATTCATATTAATAACTACTGTTTATAAATGTATAATTAATACTGGAATTTTATAATTAATATCAGATTTATTTATAAACATCATTAATATCACTAATTTTTATAAGTATAAAATTAGTTCTGGATTTTTTTTTTTTATAAATGTAAAATATATTAGATTCTTGATAAAATCCAAAGAATCAGCAATATAATTGGTCTTGACCTGGCATCTCTGCTGCTTCAGTCACCTTCCCACTGCCATAATGTAGCTTCCCTGTGTCTTTTCGATAAATACTTTCATGGTAATTGTTCAGATTAACTTTTTGCTATGGTACCTAGTTTTTATGAATTTAAACAAAGTACTAAAGTGGAAAGAAAGGTCTCCACAATTCACAGCTAGATTTTTTTTTTTTTTTCTTTAAGCGTTTCACCCCAAGCAAGGCAGGAAGCCACTAGGACGCAAGGGGTTACAGAAGATTTGGAGCAAGATCAGATAGGAGTGATAGAGGGAAGGATGAGGAGAAGGATAGGGGATAAATCAAGGCAACTGGAGATGTTGATTGACATTACATTTAAATAGTTGGAGATTATAGCTCTCAGGGAAACTGATATATTTGTAAGTTTTATTCTAACAGTTTCCTTTCTTGTGCTTCTCACTTGTGAAACTCTCTCCTGGTTCCATGTTTTCCAGTCAACCTTGATATGTAAAAATTTAAAAGCAAAGTCGGTCATTATCTGCTGTCTTCTTAATTACCTTAATTCTCGCTCCTTAATAATGTTTCTTTTTTTCACATTTGGTAACCCCTTATATCTTAGTGGCTTTATTGCCTTGCATGGGGCAAAATGCTTAAAAATAAAAAAAAAAATTACATATTTCTAATTAAATACTATGCAGAGGTTTACCTGTAAATTTTTATGTAAAATATGCAGAAACAAAGATTTGTATTAATCATGAGACCAAGATACGAATCTCACCACAGTTAATTTGTCAAAGTGACTTCTTGATTATATCAACCTAGAGAGATAATCCCAACATGTAGCACCATTGGAAAGTACTTGAAAACCTTACCAAAGCTTTGTGAGTGAAATTTGGTAAGTCAAACTGTTTGGAAGTTGTCAATGGTTACGCTCTCACAAGTCATTGTGACTGAGGGTTTGAGCATAGAGGCCTTGTTCAAATTGGCAATCACACAGGGTTATGAACTTTCTCACAGAAACTGTGGATGTGCAAGTGGTGTAAGTGGGGAATGGTTTAGAATGAGAAATCAGAGAGCTAAGTTCAAATTCCAGTTGAGTCCATTGCATTCACTTACACACAAATAAATGTGGGAAAGGTATGAATCCATCTTTTCTCCCACCAGCTCTGGTGAAATAGTAAAGAAAATGGTTATCTACAAGAAAATGTTAATACAATATACACTTACACAAAAAAGAAAGAATTTTCTTACAATTCAAAATAGGTTATGGTTTTGATAAACTGTAAAAAAAAAAAAAAAATCAAATCGATCAAGCAAGCAATCAACTCCCAGAAAGTATAACTTCGGTCTATTCGACATAGTTGCAGTTATAAACCACAGGTTGACTCTCCAATGGGGATTAGCTAGCCACCTTAGCAAATATGGATACTTGGAAACAAGCAGCCAGCCATACATATTATGATTCTGCAACAAATATTTGCAAGGATTATACAAATCTCTCAGATCATTTGCATATACAGGAAGAATGTTTCTCTACATTGGCTGAAGAGGAGAGTTTGACAGCTTCTAGTAGTCTTGGTCTTGTGGCGCTGCCAATTTTTTCCAACTTTTTTCTACGGTTTCATTCTGAGAGGGAGTTTTCCTGTTGGTTAATGCACATCTACATTGACTTGTCAATTTCTGTTTCTTTTGAGAGTCCTTGAATTGACTGATGAGAGAGACCATTATTCACTTCATCAAGGCCCAAATTTGCAGGGAAGTCTAGTATAGGCGTTTTCACTAGTTTGCTGAAAAAATAGCATGGCATGATGACAAAAGGACTCAAACTTAATAACATCAAAGTTTTATCGTCAAAATGTTTATTATTAAGAGGAAAGACCAAAGTATTTTTTATTATTTTATTAAATTTTTTCATCCTTCCTAGTATGTTTGAAATTTTAGTTAAAAATGTTTTTGTTTTTTGTGTCAGTGGTCAGCCAAAGATTATTGTGGGTCTTTTGGTGCCTTTTTCTGACAAAAAAAAAAAAAAACACATTCATTTGGAAATTCTTTCAAAAATCAAATAACTGTTGGATTTAATGAAACTTTCAAAACATATTCACAAATGAATAAAATTATTTTTTAGATTTCTTTTCTTTAGAAAATCTCAGTAGGAATGTTTTATTTTTACATGTTACCCCTCACTTAATTTCAAGAAATTAAATTGCAAGATTTATTTTATTAGTTAAAAGCAGCACTCCTTGGAGAATGTAAATCATAAAATGTTTTTTTCTTTTTTAACTGCTACTCATTTCCTGAAAATCCGCTTTGAATCGTAAAATAAAAAAATGCAATAAAACTATGACATTAATTAGAAAAGCTTTTAATTGCTTTTATAAGATTTATGACGAACACTATTGTCTTTAGAAAAAATTTTGTTTGATGAATAATGAATTTTTACAAGAATTGTTTTTTTTTTTTTTTTTTTTTTTTTTTAAATTTTAATTATAATAATTTATTATAATAATTTATACAGTGTAACCCGAATATAAGAGAGTTGTTGGGACCGGAGAAGAAGTCTCTTATATCCGGGTTTGGTCTTTTTTGTTTAGGTAATACAGGCTCTAATTTGGGACCAGAGAAAATCTCTCTTATATCCGGGTTTCTCTTATATCCGGGTTACACTGTATATAAATCTTTTAAAATTCTGTATTATTTTAATTTCATTTCGTGAAAACTATATTTATTAATCATAAATGAAAAGCTTAATACAAATCATTATGCACCAAGATTTTTAAAACAATTTTTTTTTTTTTGTTCATAGACGTGCCCATTTTTAAAGCATGGGCATGACGCACAACATTATAAGAAAATAAGAGTGATGACTATAGTAAATTTAAAGTCTACATTCCTAAAATTAGATTACAGAGAATATTTTCCGACATTAAGATTTCTGAGTACTTAAAAATTATATAAAAAAGTTGTGTATGTCTTTTTTTTTAAATTATGCTTTACAGATAAAGTCTTTGTAGAATGACAATAAAACTCTCATCACTTTTTGTCACTTGTCAATCATGTAAACATGGCTACTGTAGATTAAAAACACAGCTACTGTTTGTTTTAAAATTGCATTTATGTGTTATTTTAAACTTAAAGTAAATATTTGTTTCAAATAAGATTATAAGATTCAAATAAAATTATACTTTACATCAGCTAATATTCCTCAAATTTCAGAAAAATATATTTTATTTTTGGAAGATTTTTTAATAATGGAAATTACATTATGATAAAAGACAACTAAAATTTGGTACTAATCACTATTTAAAAAAAAAAATAATGAAAATCTATTCCAATCAATATAATTTCTGTTTGAAATGCACTACAGAGTATTTTGCTTACTGGAAATAGTAAATATAAAATTGGCTTCCAATTAAAGCTAAAATGAAAGCTTCAAGAAAGCTATTTTCATTTTAAACCTTAGGTATCACAAATTAGTGGAGGTACCTAGCATAGTATCTCTTCAGTGAGGACCTTGTATTTCTTCAGAAAATACTTTGCAGGAAAGCCTTGTATCTCTTCAATGAGGCTCTGCTTCTTTGCTGCCAAGTGGCTGCCTTTCTGAATTGGAGTTTTTGGAATATAGTCTTACACCTTGTCATATGACCAACAGATTATAGTTGAGTATTTTGTAATATAGCTTCAATCGACACTTGTAGCCTTTGCTGAATCTTGAACTTCTACATTAGTAATGGACTGGTGCACAGTGAAAATGGTGTGGAGCCAGTCTGTGCTCGTATATGACATGTCTTGGTTTTTGTATCAAAAGGTGAAGTTTGATGGCTTTGTACACTTTGATTTTCATGCCTCATCTGAGATTTCTGTTGGCATGGACAATTTTGTGTTTATTTGTGAGATTTGGTTGGAAGTACACACACACATACACACACACACACACACACAAAAAAAAAAAAACTATATACAAGTCCAAGAAAGGTGTCTGAACACCTTTCATATGAGAAGCATCTGCTGCATCTTGGGAATAGCGTGGCAAAATAAGGTGCCCAACACTGAGGTCCTGTCTTGTTTACACTGCTCAGACAGTGCAGACTTCATTGGTTGGGCCATGTGCCAAAAACCTTTTGTATAGAAAGCTGACCGCTGGAAGGAGATCTGCCAGTTGGCTACAGCTGCAGTACTACGATGTTGTGAGATGTGACATGAAAGCTGTGGACATCAACACAGAATCCTGGGAGAGCCTGGCAGCCATACGATCTGAATAGAGAGAAACTCTGACCAAACACCTCAAGTCAGGGGAGAAGCTGACACAAGTCGCCACAGAAAGGTGAGCCCACAGAAAGCAAAGTGACATTTCCATCAGACCAAAATAGAACATACATGCAACCTCTGCAACAGAGATTGTCACTCCCACATCAGCCTCTACACTACATTGATGCTCCAGCCAAGCAGACAACTAGGATGCTACCCATGGTCAACCCTGACCAAGGGAGGCCTACATACATGGTCAAAATAGTGGTACACAGTCCAACAGGCAAATCAATTCCACAAATGCTGACTATCTCTGTTCCTTAATCTTGGGTAACCAACTCCTCTCACCAAAAACAAAGTCTCCTCTTTGAGTGTACCATGCTTTTATGCACCTGACCAGCCATGAGTGCTTAGAACCAGCCAATAAAAATGGCTACAAGCAGCACCACCACTTCTGTTCACATGAAGTGCTGCCTTGTTCAGTTTCAGTCTGACGCTTGCCAATTCACCATCTCCACACTCCATTGCAAAACACACACATATCTGGCCCTTTTGGGTCACTGAAATAAGTCTCCACTACATAGAAGAGCCAGTGTTTCAACTTGATGCAGCTATAAGACTTTATTCCTTTGAATTTCTTTAGTTTATACAACACTAGACTAGGGCACCTCAAGATGGTGTAATGGTTAACAAGCTTGCCTTGATAAAACAAGTGAGTAGTGAGTTTGATCCTCACTATGTGCCCCCCCATCTAATGTTTTATTAATCATGTCAAAATCTAGAATGCTCTTAACACTAAGAATGTAATTATTTTCTTTTTTTTTTCTTTTCTATTTCAGACTTAAATCCACTTATTATTACACAAATGAAACAAAGGACAGTAAACCAATGAAATTACAATCAGGTTAGTTTTTCTTGACCACAAAGTCATAACTCTTCAATTTATAAATATTCCTGAAAATGTATGGATTGGCTGAAAAGTTCATAGGCTTACCAAGATACTTTCATGGTGTGTGAACAAATTAGGTTTACTTTTCAACTTAGTCTTTGCCCCTGCAGTCCGCACATATCTTCCATTGGTGTTGCAATGTTTAGATCTCAATGGTGTAGAAGCTTTCATCCTGTCGATCAAAAAAGTCATCAATCACAGATAAGACATCATCATCACTGCAATACTGGTTCCAAACCAAGTGGCATCCTGGGTAAGACGATAAACTACATCCAGCCGCAAGGCCTCTGATTAGGAGGTTTTGAGGATCATGCAACCACCTCTTAATTGCTGGTGTTCCCAGGTCCACCCTGTCTTTGTGGTGGTAGTACTTGTTAGGGTCCCAGCTATGGAAAAATAGTTCACGCCTCCAAACTGAGAACATAAAAATAGGTTTTGATACCAGTAATACATTTTTGCAAAATGAATTTTGCAATGAATTTTTGGAGATAAAATTATTACTAGTAATATATTATTACCAGAAATACATTTTTGAAAAAAATATTAGCAGCAATAAAAATCTTGTTGGCATTGAATAACCCATTGATGTTCATATGCTGTAAAACAAAATAAAATAAACCAATACATTTAAAAAAAAAAAAAAAAAATTGTTACCAGCAATACATTTTTGAAAAAAAAACACTATGAAAGTATAAATATAGGTTTTAATACCAGCAAAATTTTTTTGGATAACTTATTACCAGCAGTTAATTTTTTTAAAAAGAAAAATATTGCCAACAATACATTTTTGCAAAAAATATTAACAGCAATAAAAATTTTGTTAGCATTAAATAACCCATTGAGGTTGATATGCCATAAAACGAATCAAACCAGCCAGGTGTTTTTTGTTTTTTTTTTTTTATGGTGGGGAACAGATGATAGTTCAAATCCACAGTCATGCACAGCAACCAATGAAACCAAGGACTTGTGTGCTGGAGCAATGTCTTGATGAACAAGACTCCTTTTGTTACTTTTTCTGAACATTTGGTCTTCATAAAATAATAGAATAGAACTCTCCATTGATGGTGTGGCCATTTGAAGATAGTCAATAATCAAAATGCCTAGTGGATAAAGATGTTGTTTAGATCCAGTGATAAGACCTAAAGAGTTATAAGTTCAATACCAGACCACAGCAGTGATGAACCAAACTTGGGGAGTTGAGTTAAAGGGAAATAACTGAGACATCCGGAAGAGGCATGGCACGTGGAACTAGAACAATCTACCCTGGTGAACGAAATAAAGAGTTTGGTTCGAAATTCCAATCACCTGAAGAAGGCCAGAGTGTACAACAGCTGAAACATTGTGAATATGGCAATGAAGATGAGGATAACAGTCTGAATAATGTAAGTAACAAAATGCCTTTTGCATCGCAACAACGTTGTCTTTTTTTTTTTTTTGGAAGAGGGGTGTTTCAACTGCATGTATTGTCTTTCTGTTTCTGGCTCAAGGTGATTAATCCATTACTCATCCTGGATTAGCAAATGCTCAATGAAACCAACTGTATATGCCTCAATGTTGGCTTGTCCCATAATGTGATTAATCTAAAAGTACAGACAGAATAAATAAGTTTAAATTGAAGGAAATAGATGAAAGTAGGAGTTTGCATAGTTTGACACAAGGCCACAATTATAGGGCACCCACAAAATACTGACAGTTGTAATGAGTCATAGGACTAGCTTGCTAACCATTACTCAATACTAAAGCTCACAAGAAATCAGTGTCACGTAGAAAAACAAGTCTACTCAACAGCATAATGTAGGCAAAAACAAGCAATTGCATCGGGTTTCTATCTTCAGTACTGCTGGAAGCTATATATATATATATATATAAGTTGTAGCCTCTGTCTGTTTGTTATTGTACTCCTTGGTTTTGGAGATAGACCCCCTCCATAACCATATATATTCTCAGACTACATTACCCAGGGTAGTTGGATAAGTGTATTTCATTTTGATTTAAATTTGAACAAGGGAATGACCCCTATCCAAAATATAGAAGGAGAAAGAGATGGAGGTCACACCAGCAAGATCATTGAGTAATACTGAAATGTATCATTTTTCTCCATAAATTATAACAATAATTTAAAATCGGTCATCCTTTTCTTACAAAAAAAGTGCGGTTAATTTAGCTAGTATGATTATAAAACTGGTGATACTTAGCATGAGATAACACATTCTTGTCAAGCATGGATAAATAAGACAGTAGGAAAAGGATGTTTTTTTCCCATGACACTGCTTTTTTAACTACCTTCACTCTTCAGCAATATTTATTGTTCTAAAAAGCGATGATTAGTTACAGGGAATGAAAGAGAATGAGAAAACTTTAGTGCAGCGGATTAAGAAAAGAACAAAAAAGGAACTGGATTCAAGAACACAGAAGATGGTGATTGATGTTGAATTTAAATTTTTGAAGATAGTAGTTATCAGGGAAGCAAGAAATTGATGAGTACGAGAAAAACTGTTAGAGTAAGAGTGGCAGTTGCATTTAGCTAGTTTCACAGTAACACAGTGAGACCTAGTTGTCAATCTAGTTGCCCATTTAAATTCATGTAGTCGAGGCATCAGTGCAGAAAAAAAGCTCATCAGAATAATTGCTGTTAGCTATTCTTTATTGTAACTGGTATAACCAGTTAGCTCCTCCTTCCCAACTTAATGGACTGTTCCTATCAGCAGTGGCAGCAGCAGGAGCATAGACTTGTATCCCCCTCCTGCACAGGGTGGATTGGGCCATTAGATAATATTTAAACTGCTGTGATTTCTCTCTGTCATTTTTTTAACTTTGACTTGCCTAGAGAAACTACTGACATTTTAAACCCAACCTCTACTCTTATCAGTTGCCATAGAAATATTTGTGGAAAAGACAGAGGGAAGCCACATTATATCGGTGAGAAAGTGACAGAAGTTGAGATGCCTGGTCAGGATTGATTACATTACAGACTCTTTTTTGAATTTTGTCAAGAATCTCAAGATGTGCAGCAGGAGCACCAGACCAGATATGGATGAATGGTAGATTGATAAATGTGCAAGATGGATTCTGATGAGAAAAAATGATTTGATGTATTTGCTCCACTTCATGTCAGTGGAAAACATGAGACCAAAGCAACATAGTGATGCTCTTCTGGTGTTTAGCATCAGCCATGCTGATGGCAAACAGAAAAGGTTCTCTAAAATGATTAAAAGAGCAATTTGTTTTGCAGGCAGAAAAGGTTCTCTGTGGTGATTTAAACCCAGAATTTTTTTTGGAGATAATAACGAATTATTAATACAAATCCTACTAATTAACCCATAGCTGGGGGAGAAGAGGTGGATTCATACCTTTCCCAATCTATTTAGCCATAAGTAAATACAATGAACCTGAATAGAATTGGAACTCTGTTCTCTGATTTATAATTCTGAGTCGTTATCCATTACACCACCCCTACATCCAAGCTCAGAGCACCTGGTATCCGAAAGAATCACTGATTTTGGTACTGACCAGGTTCGACATTGCTTAATTTTGGGGATTGGACGGGAACCTGTGTTCCAACGTGATATGGCCATAAGCCAACAACTTAAATGTTACTATAACAACCAAAATAAGGAAACTAGTCCAAATAAATCCACACATAATTACAAGAATTCCTCATCTTGTAAATTCAGGCAAAAAAATGTAACATTTAATTAAAAGGGAAGAATGGTCATTTTCAATTTGAACAGCAAATTTAAATGGGAAAAAAAAAATCCATTTTTATACGATATTGTTTTCATGGGCTTTTCTCTCTTTTTTATTAAATCTAGGCACATATGCTTTTGGTAACACTCAAATGACCAAACCTTGGAAGAAGGTGATTGCAGGCAAAGAAAAATTCAAAAATGTCCTTGCTCAATTCTCCGAAGTGAAAGATCAGGAAAAACTACAGACAGCATTGTTTGATTTGATGTCCACCGAAGAAAGGTCAGACTTGTTTCTATATTTAAAATATTGCCCATTATTATTATTATTATCATTATTATTCAATGTTTTTAAAATAAAACCATATGCAGATGAGTGAAACTAGATTTCCACATTCTTCAACTGGAACCCCTACATTGTGTCGGGGACCTTTTTTCAGAACAATTTTTGTTGTATAGGTGACTCTAGTAGTGCTGGTTGCTTCTAACTGGTAAACAGTTTGTCAAAAGGATAACTTATCTTAGTTAATGCATTTCATCCTCTGAGGGATTTTTATCAATTTACATTCAAGTCCCTCAGATAAGTGTTCCTTTTATCTTTTTTTCATATTGTCCTTTTACAGACATACTCTATCTGATACATAGTGTGTCAGTTTTATTAAATACAACTGAAAAGGTACTGCCATTAAACTTTTTATTCAATTTTTCTTGCATTGACAAAGGTATTTTCATACTGGGCATAGTGTGTAAAAACTGTCCAAATGTTTTATATATCTGAGTGCTGTCCACAACATATTTGCAGAAAATACAACCATAATAGCCTTTATTATATAAAAAAAGGCTAAAAATAATAAAAGAATTAATAAGAATAAAAAAAGCCATTTCTCAATAATATCAATTATGAACACCACCACAACATGCTGACTGTATTTGGGAAATAATATATCATTCCCATCCCTATAGATACACATCTATATATTCAGTTAAAAAAAAAATCTTACTTATTATAAAACGCAGATTGTTTGTGTGTGTGTGTTTGTATGTTTATATATTTGATCGGATTTCCTACATTTTTCAACCGATTTCAACAAAACTTCACAGGACTGCGTAAAATTACCTTGTTTTTGCACGAAATCACAATAAAACACGATTCTGTCACCAGAATGAAAGGGGGACAACTCATATCGAGTTATACTTATGAAACCCAGGTTGTTTGTGTGTGTGTTCATTTATACATAGGATCGGATTTCCTACATTTTTCAACCGATTTCAACAAAACTTTACTTCTTTTTGGCAGGTAGTGTTTCTTATTGTCTTGCACACTTTTTCTTTATTTTTACATTCAGAATGCTTTAAAATTCCATTTACAAGACAACTGTTTATAATAAAATTATATTCAATCGATAGACTCATAACGAATGAAAACAATGTTTTTGTTTGAGTTTGGGTTTGACCAATTCGTAACAAAAAACAAAAAAACAACTAATTAAGACATGTGTGTCCGTCAACCTTAAACAATAATCCTTGTCAATTTTATTTTTCAGTCTTTATGATGGTGGATACTTGATCTATCTCTTACTGTTACATCCCTGGGCAACGCTGGGCTCTCCTGCTAGTCCTTGATAATAGGTAATGAAATAGCCAAAAGCACTCAGATATATAAAACATTTGGACGGTACACAGTACTTTTTCAGTCAACTTTAATAAAACTTATATAAAAGGGCAATTACTGCCCAAATACACAATTATATATAAATACAATATAGATCAAAAGTTTGAATCCACCCCCAGAATTAGCATGGGATGAACTTGACAGAAGAGTGAAAAAATGAAAAAGAGTCATTGAAAAAAGAATGGAATCAATTATCAAACTTTTACTTTAAGAAACTTTTGCAATGAATGTCAAAAATTTGTGCTGCAGTAATCAAGGCTAACGGAGGATATTTTGACGAGAGCAAAATTTAATCATAAAATGCTTTTTTTTTTTTTTTTTTTTTTTTTTTTTGTCATTGTAAAAATTCTAATAAAAAATCAAGTCTGGCTTTTTATTTTTTTTAACCATGCATAATAATTTTTTCTTATTTAAAGTACAAAACAACTACTTTGGGGGCCAATTAAAAAAATTACCAGGGGTGGCCTCAAACGTTTGAATTGTAGTATCTGTGTATATAGTGGGACCTCAATTTAGCAGACTAATACTGGGGATTGTCTACTAAAGCCATTTGTCTGTTAATTTGAAACCCATTTTGTGGCCTAAAAACACTCAGTACAGTATGAAATTATTGTAAATAAATGTAAATACAGTATATATATATATGCATGTGTATTTTATTTTAAGTTACTATATACCTTTAAATAAAGTTTGAAATGTTTTAAAGTTAAATCGGGAGTCCTTTGGTTTCAGGGCCATTAATTCGAGGTTTTACTCATGTATGTGTGTATGTATGTATATAATATATATATATATATATATACACAACCTGATGGTTCCGTATAGGATATATATATATATATATATATATATATATATATATATATATGAGAGATTAGAAACTGACAGAATGATAGTATAATGAACAAATAGGAAATGTTTAAATGTTTTCACTTTTATTTAAGTTTCATCAGAAAATTTAGAAAAGAACATAATTTACTATATGGAAAATACTTAGCCATCCTGATAAATATCAAACACACTTTTTTACATTACCAATTTATAGAAAATCCATACTTAAAGAATCTAAGACCAGTTTACCTCCTACCACAACTTGTGTAACCAAAATTCTTACATTCCCACACAAAATATCCTCCAATCAACATATGGACACTACCAGATGTAAATAAAAATACCCACTAGATGCACAAACTCACACATACACAAATATTATCAACTAAATCCTGCATAGACCAACTAGAATTATGGTACACAAATGCACAAGAATTATACAGATGAATGCTATTTGCCAAAACAAATACACGTGATGTCTATTTAACCAATGAAAAACAAACACAAAAATAAAAAATACAAGAATTTTCTTTTCTCCTCCATTTTTCTGGTGAATCTTAAATAAAATCGAAATATGTTAGATTTATAAATATTTCCTATTTGTTCCTCTATCTTATCACATAATATGTATATATGAGGAATCAATGGATTTTTTTATCTAACATGATTTTTTTATGTGTGGTCATTTAACAAATAGAAAGAAATCAGAGCGACAAGTTTGAATTCCAGTCAAGTTTTTTTACATTCACTTGCGTGCAAATACTCTTGCATAAGGTATGAATCCATGTCTTCTCCCCGCAGCTGTGGGTAAATGTCAGGACAGGCTGGGCCCCATATCCTTATTATGCCTTATTATTATTATTACCTTATTATGCATTATTATTATTATTATTGTGCACATTAATTCTACCTTATCATGCACTTCAGGATACCTTCTGAGGTGAATGATATTTTATTTAATGTGGACTGTTTATTTTTGAGTTTTGAATCTTTCTCTGCATTCATTGCTGTAGAGTATTTTGATGTTATCTACTAGTATTTCTCATATGTTGATAATTTGATTTTGATTGTGCATAATGATATATGTATATGAGTAATAGAAATATATAATTTGTGACTTATCTGATTGATCTTATATTCAGCACCCTGACTCCAGAGTTTTATAGACAAACCTTTTTGAAATCATTCCATCCACTCATCAGAAATTATCAGCAATTGTCAGCTGATTATGTTGTTTTCCTTCTTTTTATATTAAAAGAATTTTTTTTATTATTACTGTAATCTTTATTTTTTCTTCATTTTGTCAATACATTTTTTTTTTTTTTTTTAAGCATTTCACCCCAAGCAAGGCGAGAAGCCACTAGGACGCAAGGGGTTACAGAAGATTTGGAGCAAGATCAGATAGGAGTGATAGAGGAAAGGATGAGGAGAATGATAGTGGATAGATCAGGGCAACTGGAGATGTCGATTGACATTACATTTGAATAGTTGGAGATTATAGCTCTCAGGGAAACTGGAATAGGGAAGGGAGTTCCACAGGCGAGAGGTGCGAGACACGAAGCTAATTGGAGTAGAAGAGACAGCTACATTTAGGAGTTTCAACAGTGAAAGAGTGAGAGCGGGAGGCCAGCCTCATAGGGCACTTGAACTCATAAAGTCTGGGAACCAGCGAATGCAGCTCCTCGGAGCAATTCCCATGAAAGTATTTGTAAAAATGACAGCGTGTCTGTGTGCGCATGTATGTGCATATGTAGACAAATCCCTTTGAAATCATTCCACCCACTCATCAGAAAGTATCAGCAATTGTCAGCTGATTGTTTTCCTGTATGTATGTGCACATGTTTGGAATGTCATCTTCTCTCCTTCTACTCTCTCATTATTCCTTTTCCTTCTCTTCTCTCTCTTTCAGCTCTGAGTGTCAGAGATGGTGTATAAATTTTGACAGTTTTTTATTGATTTTTTTTTTCTTTTCTTTTCTTGATGTGAAAGATATTTTGATGAAGAAGCTGCTGTTGAATTTCCCGGAAAGGATTATATTACGGCTTATATCACCTGTAGAAATACAGACATCCGCTATGGCTCAAGGTAAGCGAAAATTTCCATTATTTGAGATTTGAATTATAATTCGTTAATCTGCAAAAATTTAAATGCAATGTCAGTCACTATCTACTGTCCTCCTGATCACTCTTTCCTCTTCCTGCTCATTATTAATGTTTCTAATTCTTCTACATCCTGTAACCCCTTGCGTCTTAGTGGCTTTACTACCTGATACTGATTAAAATAAAAAAAAATTTAATATTCACAATTTATTTTTAAAATAACTCTTTATGTCAATCATGATTTTATGGGGAGGATTATTAACGTAAATACGTCAAAACTTTCCCCTCACTTGTATTTTAGCACTCACTGTATTTGAATCCAGACGATGACTTGGCAATTATCACACAATTCACAATTATTTTCTTCTTTTATGTACTGTGTCTCTTCAGAACGTATGTGGTTATGACCCTCCACATCCTTCTGACCCTTGTAGCTCTTAAGTTTTGCTTTTTTTTTTGTTATTTCTCCTAGACCCTATTCAGCCATCCACTTGCTCAAGCCCATTATGTCAGGTGTTGCTTTACTCTGTCCTTCTTTCCCTCTATCAGCCCTATGAGTATTAGATTTTCCAAGCCCTCCTTCCTCATTATGAGTCCCAGAAATTTCATCTGCCTCTTCCTGATATACATAAGTTCCCTGTTTGTTTCCATTTTCTCCAAAATAATTTCCTGGACAGGATTATCTTACAGCTTACATCACCTGTAGAAATACAGATATCTGTGCTGACTCAAAGTCGGGGAATATTCACCTTATTTTAGATTTGAATTATAATATTTTTCAAAGAAATCAAGAAAAAAAATTAATATTTAAAATAACTGTTCAGGTCAATTATAATCTTAAGGGGGCGATTATTAAAGTAAATAGCTCAAAACTTTCCTTTTGCTTGTATTTTAGCACTGACTGTATTTGAATCCAAACAATGACTTGACAATTATTATCAGACAATTAATTCACAAACCAACACTGTAATCCACTAGGATAATGACCCATGTTCATCCTCAGTATGCTGATAAACTACATCTGGCAGCAAGGCCTCTCTGATTGGGAGGTTTTGAGGAGCATGGAACCACCTTTAATTGCTGGTGTTCCTAGGTCCACCCTGACCCGGCAAAGTAGCACCTGTTAGGGGTCCCAGGTATGGTCAAATAGTGAACCTCCAAACAAAAACAAAATACTGAACACTTAATTTCATCTACAGGGGTAAATTGTTCTAGTTCCATATACCATGCCTCTTCCGGATGTCTTAGTTATTTCTCTTTAACTCAACTCTCCAAATTTTTTGGTTCACCATTGCTGTGGCGTGGTATTGAACTCACAACTCTTTGGGTCTAGTCACTGGATCTAACCAACGTCTTTATCCACTAGGCCATGAATATGACGATAACAGTCCAAATAATGTAAATAATGCAAGTAATCATAATACCTCATCTCAGAGATAGACAAACAACAGATATATTAATGATAAAATTTATTTTTTTTATGAATAATTTGTTTTTCTTACTAAAGAATATTTTAAATTAAAAAGAAAAGAAAGAAAGTATATTGAATTTTAGTTTACTTTGCCATTAAATACAAAGCAGAAGCAAATGTAATATTTTTATACCGCCATATTAAGTAACCTTCCTGATGTCATCAGTTCTCAACTTGGTATCTATGCTGATGACACAACTATTTACTCCTCCCTTAATAGTAATTCTGATCTCTTTGATAAGGTCAAATTGGTAGCTGATTTAAAAAAATGAGTGATAATCTGTTGTTAACTAGGGCAAGGAATGGCTTGTTAATTTTACTGCCTCTAATACAGCAAATACTATACTGCTCTCTTTTAATCATCTGAGAGAACACTTTTTACCTTCCATCAGCCATCAGGAGAGTAACTTATTGCACTTTTTCAGATTAACATTTTCCGTTGATATCAAGTCGAAAAAGTATATTGACTCAATTGCTAGATAAGTTGATTCACTGTCAAGCTACATAATTTTTCTTGACAGGATCTATCTTACATATTTGTAAGTCTTCCATTATTCCTTGCATTGAATATTGCTGTCAGATATGATCTGGTGCTCCTGCTACATATTTAGAGATTCTTGATAAAATCCAAAGAATCTGCAATGTTATTGGTCCTGACCTGGCATCTCAGCTATGGTCATATATTTTCTCATATTCTCTAACATTCAGCAACTCCTTGCATCATAGTGGCTTTATTGCCTTGCTTGGGATGAAAAAAAAGGCAGACAGTAACAGTAAGTAACCTTCTTGTTTAAATGGATGGCAGAGCAGAGAATGGCAGGGAGAGTAAACATTACTTAGCGCTACAAAGATAGGAAGTTGTGGAGGGGCATGATCGCTCATGTCCTGAAGTGGAGATAGTGCATAAAAGAAAAAAAAAAAGGAATCCAACAGAACTTGCATATCTTCCTGGTTTGTTTCAATGTCCTTCTTAGAAGCTTATATTTTTTTTACTTTTTTTTTTCAGGACGCACACTGTGATCTTGGTTGATGGTGAAGGGAACTGCACTTTTTTGGAGAAAACACTTCAAACGCCAGTTGTTGTCAATAATTACAAATGGGAGTCTTCCAGCCATTCATTCAGACTTAACCTGGACTGAAATTCTTTTGAAAACATACAGAAATATTGTAGTGAATTAAATGGATCAATGTAATTTCAATTGACAATCATAAACTGGTAAACGTTGCTAAAAGAATTGCTGAATTGTACAGGTGACTTACAATTGGCAAGATCAATTATTAACTGACGTTAAGTAACTATGAGAGGATATCCGAATAACACTTGGTGAGATAAAGCCCAGCAAGAGAATGAACTAGACAGAAACAGCTCTTGTAATTTCAATTTGTAAAGCTATGATTAAGGAGTCAACTTTCAACATTAACGTGTGGTAAGGATCAATTCAAGAATCATCAATAAAAAGAATCAGCAAAGTTTAACATTCTTATACATTAAAAAAAAAAAAAAAAGAACTCTGTCAAAAAGACATTTTTTTTTTCTCTTGACACCTCTATTACCTCAGCAATGTAGTCTTGGGTATGACGATAAACTACATCCAGCAGCAAGGCTTCTGATCAGAAGATCAAAGGTTTTGAGGGGTGTGGAACCACCTCTTAATTTCTGTTGTTCCTAGGTCCACCCTCACCCAGAGTGGTAGCACCTGTTAGTGTCCCAGCTATGGGCAATTAGTTAAACCCAATCAAAAGCAAAACACTATGAAACTATAAGAATATATTTTTCACAGTAAAAATACTAGTAATACTTATTTATTTAACATTAGCAACAATACCTACTTGTAGTAAAATTAGCAACAATATCTGTTTAAAGTGGAAATTAGCAACAATATCTATTTAAAGTGAAAATTAGCAACAATACATTTTATAGCAAAATGACTAACAGTACATCTTATCTGTAGTTGAAGGTATACAATTGCATTCAAAATATATTTAGTTGAAGCCATAAAACTGTGTTCAAAATATTTAGATTTTGGCATTAAATAACCCATAAGAGTGTTGATATGTTGCTAAACAAAATCAATCAACCCTCAGAAATGATTCTTTAAAAAGCTATTTTCAGAATTCTAATGAAGCCCAAACATATGAAGTTGGATTTTTATGCATTTTTCTTGAGAAAATGGCAACTTAAGGGTTAAAACTATTTTCTTACATTGTTTATTTAGAAGAATAATTTTATATATAATTTTTGAATATTTTATTTACAAGTTTATCTTTGAACAAGAGAATAAAATTTAAATGAACACACAGCCATGTGTAACTAATTACAAATTTAGAAAAAAAATGAATTTTCTGTGCATTTCTTTGATTTGCTCTCACCACATAAATTCACTGAAATAATTTGCGAGCATCTGGATTTATACATTTTTTTTTTTTGACAGCAAAAAAATACTATTAGATTGTTTATTTACAAGGATAGTGTTCAATACTTTTGCTATCAATTCTCAAAAAAGAAGAGAATGCATAAATTCAGTTTCATATGTTTGGATGTTATTAAAATTCTAAAAAAAAAAATAACTTTTGAAAACAAAATTGCCAAAGGAGTATACAGATATAGTGGTGTCAAAGAAAAACCGTCCCTTTGAGAATAATTTTTTTTTTTTTTGTGGCTATGAATGTCAGGCTTTGCTGCAGAATTAATATCACTTCAGACAATAACAGATCTTAGACTATATACATATATAAAGGATCATTAGCTTCGACCCAGTTAAAACAATATCATAAGGAAATATATTATGGTGCTGTGTGGGATTAATGATGGCTTCCCATACATTTTAATCTCTTCCTATAACTTAGTGTAGGGATCAATTCTATTAGAATTTATTAGTTAAACATCAGCTAGTCAGTTGTCAAGGCTCTATTTTAAAGAGTGTGAATCAATTTGCCTCAACTGAGCAGTAAGGAACATTTGGTTGGAAGAATCGTCTTTCAAAAATGTACAACTTCTATTGAAAGAGTTTTAAGCTCGTAAGGATCTAAAGAAATTCTGAAAGATCATTTCTGAGGTTATTACATTGATATTTTCAAAAACTAAATCTAAAGAACCATAAGGATAAATTCCAAAAGCCTAAAGTAATAAGCCAAAGAAATTGTACAAGGGAGTGATGAAAAGTTCATAGCTCAAACAAGAAGGAATCTTTTTTTTTTATCAAGTATTTGGTCATATTTTGGGAAGTGGTTAAGGTAAAGAACTTTTCAGCACCCACTAATAAGAGTATTGATTTGTTTTTTGTTTTTGTTTTTTATGGCTTATCAACTTTTGAAGGTTATTTAAAGCCAGAAAATATTTTTAGATTGTAAAAATATTTTGGAGATATTACACTTGGGAATGGTATGAATCCATCTTTTCTCTCTCCTGCTATGGATTAATTAGTAGGACTTGTATCAGTAAATCATTATTATCTCAAAAAAATTCTTACAATGTAAGAAATTTTTTGCCTTTAAATAACCTGCAAAAGGTTGATAGTGTTAAAAAAAAAAAAATTAATCAGTCAGTTCCATATTTGAGTAGATACTTCATTTTATTTTTTTAAAACAATATCTATTTTTGGCCTGAATATTTGAGAAATCTTAGTAAAGAAAAATGAGCTGTTGTAACCATTTGGGAGTCAGAATGAGAAGGATGGGCTTATAAGGCAGTATAGAACTTTGCTTGATTGGCACTGCCCTTCGTGGCCAAGTCAGTTAAGCATACATCAGATCAAACAATGGTTTCTTCTACAAAGGAGGATAGAGGTTTGTAACTTGCTGGAGGGTGAAAATTTTCTTCAATTTCTCGAATATTCAGGCTGGTAGACAAAATATAAATAATGTCTACTCAAATATGTGTATCCACTAAAAGTAACACTTAATTTTTATGACATTTTTAGGTTATAATTTTTGAATAAATGATTATATTTACTCTACTTTGTATTGAGCACTCTTTTAAGAATAGTATTTGTTGGTTATTGGAATTTATGCTGTATGCACCAATGTTATACTTGGAGATATATATATATATATATATATATATATATATATATAATTATTTGCTCTGGATTTACATTGAGCTCTCATTTATCCCTTATGTTTACCCATACGGATTACCCAGTTTTTCTATATATATATATATATATATATATATATATATATATATATATATAAATTTGGGAGGCACTGTGGAGTAATTAATAGCAGCTTGGTTTGAGGAATCGGAGCCAAGCTCAAATTCCAATCGAATTCATTACATTCACTTACATGCTAATACCCTTGGGAAAAGTATGAATCCTCTTCTTATCCCTCCAGCTATGAATAAATAGCAGGGCAGACTGGGTTCTATAACCTTGGATGGCAACTGGTCTAGGAGAAGGACAACTCTGAATTCAAAACTTGCAGGGGTTGTTTGGGGACCCTGTGGCACATAGTACCCCAGGTCTCTGTATTTGGCCCTTCAAAAAGTGTGATGGTTCTCCACAAAACCTTCACCACTATATCAAATCTCATGTGGGAATCTGTCTGGCTGTCGGTCCCTAGTAACTGAGCTGATTGGCCCTCATACATTGAATATGACTGGAGAGTTGAAAATATATATATATATATATATATATATATATATATATATATATATATATATATATATATATATTGTGGACACTGAGAACAAGATTGAGTGGTAACAGTCTGTTTCATCCTTGAAGTCATCAGAAGTCTTGAAGATTACCTTCAAGCATGAAACAGACTGTCGCCACTCTGTCTACTTCTGTATTTGCATACATTCTATACCTGGCTTCTGGCCACCTCATGTTGAATCACCAGTTAAACACTGTCAAGCTTGGTCAGTACCTAGATAGGTGACCACGTGGTATAATGGTTAATGGCTTGGAATTGTTAATTGAAGTGCAGAGTTCCAATTCCTGTTGGGTTCATTGTATTCACTTACACATAAATACTCTTGGGAAATATATGTATTCACTTGTTCTTTCCCCAGATATGGGTTAATTAGTAAGATTAGTAAGTAATATCACTAAACCATTATCTCCAAAAGAAAAAATTTGTACTATATAAAAATATTTTCTGGCTTTAAATAACCCATAAACGGATGATAAACTGTAAAAAAATGAATCAATCTATCATTGATATTGAGCACTTTATAAAAGCATAGCTTAAAACTATATTTTTATCACGCATCTATTAAGTAATGCTCAGTAACATTCCCATGTCTTTCCAGTTACTATTTGAACATGTCGTTTGTAGTCATTTGTTGGAGTCTGTCGCCACATAATGTCCCAGGTGGATTTTGCTGCCCCCACTAAAATTTAATCATTCGAGCCCATCTATTTGAAACTCTAATGTAGACACAGACAGTGTGAACATTGAAATAAATATTGTATGGTGACTGTCTGAAGATCACTTGTGGTGTGAAACTGACAGTTACTATACAGTGAGGATTTCTATGTTCGTACTGCCTATATGTACAAGTTCTCTGTGATTTTGAGCACACTTCCCCCATAAATATAGCAAATTTTAAACATATATGTTTAGGGTAAATTAATAGGATAATTGCTTTGCTTTGATGGTTTCCCATAATCTAATGGTAAAGCGCACTTAGCTTTAAACTTGTTTCCTTGATTGAATAATGGAATACAAGTTTAATTTCTGTCAGGAGGCACATTTTCTTTAATAATACTCTATTGGTCTCTGCTAGAAATTTTCACTATTTAAAAAAAAAAAAAATATATATATATATATATATATATAACAGGGATGCCTACTCAAACACCAGTACACACTAAAAATCTACAGGGTGACCACAAAGACTTTAGATAATTTCAAGAAGTCATTATGCCAAACTTAGAAGTGGCAATTAAATTTTTCTTGCATGTTATTATTAAAGGGTTTTTTTTTTTGCCCCCAAAAAAAAAAACTACCACTTTTTGTTGCAAAGATGGAAAGGGTTTCATTTTATACCTCCTGGTGCACTTTTGTCTCACAAACAATATTTGGTGGACATGTGAGTCCAGGTAAAATAAGAAGCAAAACATGGATTTCAAACAAAAAATGCATGTATTAACAAAGAGAGAGAAATTACATTAATGTATACTCAGTTGAA